CTATGATTCCAATTATATTTAGTCCTAGATTTTAAAAAACTAACATATAGTGATAGAAATTCAATCACTAATTATCTGAGGAGAAAGTGGAAAGAGATTGAGAACAAAGGGCATGACGAAACTTTCTGGGGTGAAAAAATTGGTTTGCTTGTTCATTGGGATGCTACTATAGATAATATCCTTGTATCATTAATAAATAATTTGTCTTCTTAAAAGGGGTACTTTTTTCTATGTAAATTATACTAAAATAACATTAAAATTTTGAAATGATAAAGGCCAGTGGTAGTAATAATAGGCTGATTTGGAAAAGATATTTTTTTCTTGATTTCAGGACACACTCAAGCCTCCACAAATTTGTTGTAATTCTGATAAGAGAAAGTTCTTATAGTGACTGAAATGTAATTACCTGCCTCTCAAGTTGGATGAAGTTATGTGGACAGAGTGGAGACAATTTATAGGAACAAATTTATTAACAGAAATATGTGCCTGGAAAATAGCATTACATAAGTAATAGTATCTTAAGATAAATGAATGTAGAAATTCTATAAGCAATATTTAAAATGTGCATAATGATTTAAAACAACTATCAGTGTGAAATCTGGGACACAATAATACTTTTTATTTATTTATTTGTTTATTTAATCTTTCATTTTTTTTTTAACTGTACTCTACATTCTGGGGTACAAGTGTAGATCATGCAGGGTTGTTGCACAGTTACTTACATGGCAAGTTGTTTTGCTGCCTCCATCCCCCTGTCACATATATCTGGCATTTCTCCTCATGTTATCCCTCTCCAACCTCCCCACTTCCTGCTGTCCCTCCCCTTGCCCCCGCTACGGCATACCCCAGTGTGTGACGCTCCCCTCCCTGTGTCAATGTGTTCTCTTTGTTCAGCACCCCCCTATGAGTAAGAACATGCTGTGTTTGATTTTCTGTTCTTGTGTCAGTTTGCTGAGAATGATGGTTTCCAGATTCATCCATGTCCCTACAAAGGACGCAAACTCATCATTTTTTATGGCTGCATAGTATTCTGCAGTGTATATGTGCCACGTTTTCCATGTCCAGTCTATCATTAGTGGGCATTTGGGTTGGTTCCTGGTCTTTGCTATTGTAAACAGTGCCACAATGAACATAACGTGTGCATATGCCTTTATAATAGAATGATTTATAATCCTTTGGATATATACCCAGTAATGGGATTGTTGGGTCAAATGATATTTCTATTTCTAGGTCCTTGAGGAATCACCACAGTGTCTTCCACAATCATTGAACTAATTTATACTCCTGCCAACAGTGCAAAAGTGTTCCTATTTCTCCACATCCTCTCCAGCATCTGTCTCCAAATTTTTGATGATTGCCATTCTAACCGGTGTGAAATGGTATCTAAATGTGGTTTTGATTTGCATATCTCTAATGACCAGTGATGATGAGCATTTTTTCATATGTTTGTTGGCCTCATATATGTCTTCTTTTGAAAAGTGACTGTTCATGTTCTTTCCTGCCATTTTGAATGAGATTGTTTGTTTTTTTCTTGTAAATCTGTTTTAATTCTTTCTAGATTTGGGATATCAGCCCTTTGACAGATGGGTAGATTGCAAAATTTTTTTCCCATTCTGTTGGTTACTGGTTCACTCTAATGATTGTTTATTTTGCTGTGCAGAAGCTCTGGAGTTTAATCAGATCCCATTTGTCTATTATAGCTTTTGTTGCCAATGCTTTTGGTGTTTCAGTTATGAAGTCCTTGCCTATGCCTATGTCCTGAATGGTTTTGCCTATGTTTTTGTCTAGGATTTTTATGGTGTTAGGTCTTATATTTAAACCATTAACCCATCTTGAGTTAATTTTAGTGTAAGGTGTCAGAAATGGGTCCAGTTTCTGCTTTCTGCACACTGCTAGCCAGTTTTCCCAATACCATTTGTTAAACAGGGAATCCTTTCCCCATTGCTTGTTTTTATCAGGTTTGTCAAAGATCAGATGGTTGTAGATGTGTGGCATTGCCTCCGAGGCCTCTGTTCTGTTCCATTGGTCTATATCTCTGTTTTGGCACCAGTACCATGCTGTTTTGATTACTGTGGCCTTGTAGTATAGTTCGAAGTCAGGTAGTGTGATGCCTCCAGCTTCATTCTTTTTGCTTAGGATTGTCTTGGCTATGTGGGCTCTCTTCTGGTTCCATATGAAGTTTAAGATGGTTTTTCCCAGCTCTGTGAAGAATGTCATTGGTAACTTGATGGGGATAGCATTAAATCTATAAATTACTTTGGGCAGTATGGCCATTTTCCTGATATTGATTCTTCCTAACCATGAGCATGGATTGTTTTCCTATCTATTTGTGTCCTCTCTTATTTCCTTGAGCAGTGGTTTGTAGTTCTCCTTTAGGAGGTCCTTTACATCCTTTGTTAGTTGTATTCCTAGGTATTTTATTCTCTTTGTAGCAATTGTGAATGGGAGTTCGCTCTTGATCTGGCTCTCTGTTAGTCTGTTATTGGTGTATAGAAATGCTTGTGATTCCTGTGCATTGATTTTGTATCCTGAGACTTTGCTGCAGTTGCTTATCAGTTTCAGGAGATTTTGGGCTGAGAGGATGGGATCTTCTAAATATACAATCGTGTCATCTGCAAATAGAGACAATTTGACTTCCTCCTTTCCTAATTGAATACCTTTCTTTTTTTTTTTTTTTTTTTTTTTTTTTTTGCTTGATTGCTCTGGCTAGAACTTCCAATAGTATTTTGAATAGGAGTGGTGAGAGACGGCACCCTTGCCTAATGCCGGATTTCAAAGGGAATGCTTCCAGTTTTTGCTCATTCAGTTTGACATTGGCTGTGGGTTTGTCATAATATTTTTAATAACAAAGTAGGTACTGTAAGAATCTCTGACATAGAAGATAGAAAATTCCTGTGCTTGGGTTTTGGCTGTCCCATTTCCAAGCCTTAGAACATCATATACGCTTACAGTTTTTCCTACTCATCTTCCTATTTATATTTTTGGATTATCAACACATTTTGAGTAATACAACTTAGCTACCAAAGTCCACACTGATAGTACCAAGATCAACTTCTGTTCACGAGCTGTAGATTCTGGATAAGTTATTTAACGTCTCTGAGCCTCTGTGTTCTCATGTATGGGAGAGGCATCATAATCATTCTTACCTTCTAGGATGTGATTCCAGGTGTAGAGGGCATGCCACAGTATCTCTCATTTATGTTAGTCATGATCTATAGCCCAGAAGCATGGTCATGTTAAAATGTACTGTTTCATTAGGTACTTCTATATTTTTCCTATGCTTCATTTCAGTATGTTAAGTAAGAATAAATTTTATTTTATGAATAGGAAGACCAGGTAAGAAGTTGTCTCAAAGCCTTGGTAAGCACATGTTGGAGAATTGGGTGAGAAGCCAGCCCACCTCCTCACTCATTATTGCTCTGTGTGATGTGCTTCTTTCCAACTGGGCACTACGCTGGGAAATCTGAAATAGATAAGCAGACAAAACGTGCTTGTTTGTGTCAGTGGGAAATAAATTCTGAGTTAAAAGCATCTAGACTATGATAATTTATAAAAATCAGCCTCAGAAAGGTATTTAAACTGATCAGATGGACAACAGGAAACCATTGCAGCTGTCTAGGTAGGAGAGTCATGTTAACATGCTTCTAAAGTAACTATTTCACATTGAGTGTTTAACAAGGCCCAGGCCCTGCAATAGATACTTCAACTGTATTGGTTCCACTAGTTCAACCATTTAAAAATATTGGCACTTGGACTAACCCCAGATTATAAAATCAAAATCTCATCCTGAGCCTCACCCTTGAGACTCCATGCTCCACAACATCCAGAATTTAACAGGACATGTTCTTTGAGACATTGCTGGTTCCATATGAATCAGGAGCTGGGCCCTGAGTGGCCTGTGTGTTGGTGAAAGGAGAAGGAGTAAGAATGTCTGGGAGTTGGTGCTGACTACAGAAAGAAGCTGCAGAAGAGTAGGAAGGAGCTAGGATGAAGCAGTAAAGAGCTTGCCTGGACAGACAGGAAGCCAGGAGGTGTGTGGTCCCTTTTGTCAGATTTCTATACCAACTGACTCATAAAACCTCTACAAGTTATAAAGTCTCATCTTGGAACCAGATAGAGCCAAATGCCTGTGGACGGATAGACGTGGTCTAGGATGTGGTGTGTTGCCTAGCAGCAGAAGGAGAAGCTATTCTTCTCTTTCAGCCCACTGAAAATATAAACTACACTGACAGATGAAGTATATAAGTACATTGGAAAGCAAACCACTATGTGGATATATCAGCAGAAACAAGAGACTATAAATTTAGATCTTGAAGGGCATTCAGATGCTGGACCAATCAAATATAGAATATAGAATGAAAGTGTATGAAGGATTTAAATAAAGGGAACAAATAATAACAGTTCTATAAAAAGAAATAATTAGAGAAACATTAAAGTAGAGCATGTATAAATATAAAAATTAGTTATATTTAATAATGGACAGATTAAAAGGCAGACACACACAGTCTGTGAAAATGTAAAGGATCTGGAAAATAGAAGTACAGTTGACCTTTGAACAACGCAATATTTAGAGGTGCTGACCCTCACACACCGTTAAAAATCTGCATATAACTTTTAACTCTCCCCAAACTTTACTACTAATGGCCTGCTATTGAAGGGAAGCCTTACCAGTAACAAAAACCACTGATCAACAAATATTTTGTAGATGTACTATAAATTGTAATATAAAGTAAGTGAAAGAATATATTATTAAGAATATCATAGGAAGAGAAAATATATCTACTATTGATTACGTGCAAGTGGATTATCATAATGTCTTCATCTTCATTGTCCTCACATTGAGTAAGTAGGGTGAAGAGATGGAGAAAGGGAATGGCTTAGTCTTGCAGTCTCGTGGGTTGCAGAGGTGGAAGACGAAGAAACAGCAGTGGAATGGAAGGCAGGAAAAACAGGCATACTGTGTATATCTTTGTGGAAATACATAGATATTTCTATCTTTCTTTTTGCTTTTCCTTTTTCCTAAAATTTTTCCTAGGCAGTAACAATCTTATTTTCACCACTTCCTTTAGTTTCAGCGCTCATATCATAGAACGGTCTTTGTTGTAAAACAGGTCATAGGCTGCCTTGAATAATCAGAATCTTTCTGCCAAATTATAATGCCAATTTATGCTCTGACACTGCTTTTTCTACATGTTCTTCTTCATCATTTGGAGCTGGTTCAGAAGCACTCATCTCTGTCAAGTCGTCTTCAGTTAATTTCTCTGATGTGCAATTAGCTCTTGAATTTTTATAACGTCCATGTGGTAAAACTCTTCACATTTTTTTTTGCCATATCCACAATCTCTTTCAGCATTTTCTTGATTTACTTTTTCAAAAATTATACTGCAGTCATGAAAAACTTCTGGTCAGTTTTCTCTAGTAGAAATTTATTGGGCTCTTGCTCTTGTCTAGGTTGGCCTTAAACTCCTGGGCTCCCAAAATCCTCCCACCTTAGCCTCTTTAGTATCTGGGATCATATGCCCACACTACTGCACCCATAATCATGGCTTTTCCTATTTTAATGCCAATGGTGTCATCTTCAGTGGTGTAGCCCTTCCAGACTTTCATGATGTCGTCTTTACCAATGGTCTCTTGGCATTCGCAAATATTTCCATAGAGTAATGTGTGTAATGAGCATTAAAATTCCTTCTGACCTCCTGATTCAGAGGCTGAATTAGAGATATTGCAGTTGGGGGCAAGTAGACCACTTTGACCTTTTTTGTGTCGAACTCATGAGGTTTTGGGTAGCCAGGGGCATTGTCCAACATCGACAGAATCATAAAAGGCAGTCCCTTATTGGCAAAATATTTCCTGACTTCAGGGACAAAGCATCAATGAAATCAATAGACAAAAAAATATTCCTGTTGCCCGGGCATTCTTGTTGTACAACTAAAACACTGGCAGCTGGTGTTTACCCTTTCTGTTCAAGGCTCCGGGGTTAGTCGCTTTATATATAAGAGCAGTCCTGATGATAAACCCGACTGCATTCTCTCTAAGCTCGGGGGTTACTCGCTTTATATATAAGAACAGTCCTGATGATAAACCCTACTGCATTCTCTCAAAACAGTAGAATTAGCTTATCCTTTCCTGATTTAAATCCTGGTGCTTGCTTCTGTATCTTACTAATAAATGGCATTTTTGGCATCTTTTTTCTAGAATAGGACACTGTCATCTGTACTGAAAACCTGTTCAGGTAGTGTAGTTTCTCTTCAATGATTTTTTTAATAGTTTCTGAAAACTAATCTGCTGCCTCTTGTTAACCAAAAGCTGCATATCCTGATATCTAGACATTTTTTAAACGAAAGCACTCCAAAACTATCAAACTGTCTTTGGCCGTTATTAAAGTATCCAACCTTAGATCGTCCCCTTTTCTTTTACTTTAAGTTGTATACAATGACTTAACATTTTCTGGAATCATATTAGGGTCTATAAATACACCTTCTGTATAAAAATCCTGCAACCACATACAAGCTTCAGTTTCAATACAAGATTAAAAATTGAGCTCAGTGATATTGCAACAGGAATGGCTGTGAAAATACAGGAGTACATTATGCATGATTAATTTTATGCAGTTAGGATTCAACACTGCATCTGTACATCTGTTTATTTGTTTACATTTCTCTCAATTGCAAACGGTATTATATATTACCTAGGTGTGCATAAACTTTAACAAACTTTAGCTTTCTATAATAGATTTGTATATATTTTATAATATGATAGTAAGTGATAAAATAGACTTTTTAAATTTTTTGCATATTTTACATATCTAACTTAATTTTCCATATTTCTAGTGTAGATGGTTTGCGATTTTGTTCACATTATAGCAAATCTCCAAAAATTTTCCCAATATGTTTATTTGTTTTAAATACACATATAAGCCGACCAAGACATTTCAGATTCCTGCTGTTCATAGCTTGACACTAATTTATCTAGATTGCAAAAACTGAAATGAGAAGCTGAAACATTTGAGAGGGCTTCAGAGGTATGAAGGATGGAATGAGAAACTCTAAGATATATCAGATCAAATTACCAGAAAGATAGAAGAGAGAGAATACAAAAGAAAAAATATAAAGCAAATTTTTCAGAACTGGGGAAAAATATGTGTCCACTGATTGATTGAAGAAGCACAATGTATGCTTAATAGGATAAGTTTCAAAAATAATTGCTTTCTAACAGCCCTGTGAGTTGGGCATTGTTATGAGTTGAATTGTGTCCCATAAAAACATATTGAAGTCCTACCCCCACTGAGAAAAATCATTGTTATTACATGACACACCACTTCAGCCCGCCTGACTTTAGCGCTGCTCTGGTGGGGACCTCCCCTCATGTGGCTGTTGTCAGTCACACATCAAGCCACTATCCCTCAGGCTCTTTCTGCTTTGAAAATTGGAGATGTTCACCAAAGGATTGGGGCTGCTTACCTGTGCATATATGGGTCCAGAATTGTGGGAGTGGGAGAACCTGCTACTAGGGGCTAATTTCAGCCAATGAATGGCATTAGTCAGTTGATGAATGTCTCTAACTCCCCATCTTCTAATAAGGTAGAATCTTCATAATTGCAGAGGATCCCTAAGAAAGATTGAACCCCAGTTTTTCAGAGCAGTAATAAATTTATTAATGCAACTTTTTGGGAGATTGTCTTCCCTTCATCTCCTTCCCCACTCCCTCACTTCTGCTTCTTGGAAATACTTTCCAAATAATACCTACACTCAAGTTCCTGACTCCTCTTATTTCATAATCAACCAAACTATGTTATTATCATCATCATCATCACCACCATCATTGTTGCCATCATTATCCTTATCGAGCCCTTTAAGTATGAACAGAGCTATGGCTAGTTTTCAACATTTATCATGTCATGTAATTCTTACTACATTACAAAATTGATAGGATTAACTCTCCTCATGGATAAAACTCCGTAGCTATGTTAATTACACATATAATCACACATCTAATAACAAGTTTTGGGCAGAGATGAATTTGGATAGATTTGCATGCAAATCCAGATTAGTTATACTTCCTCCATTTTCTTTAAGCAGAGTGCTAGAATCATTTATTTTTAATAGCCTCTGCTTCTTAGTACAACCTTCCTATCTTAGGTTTTCTAGCCTTAATACTATGATCCTGAGATGACTTAAAAGTCTTATGTCTTAGCTTTTTCAACAGTGTCTATTCACTAGCTGAGGCCAAGCAAGCTAGTGAATAATGTCCATTTATATGTGTCTTGTCTGCCTAGTCACAGTGCGTACCTTTAGATTTGGGGGTTTTGTTTTGTTTTTGTCTTACAGCACTGTACATATTCCTCTGTGATTCTTATACTACTCTTTGAAGAGAATATTAAATGACAGGTAAACTGCAAATGGTAGGGATAATATATTTAGAATTATCTTCTGTAAGTGGAATGTGAGATACCATAGAGAGGAATGCATAAAATCATATAGAAATTATTGTAAATACTAAGATCCTCATTTGAGCTGCTTAAACATCTTTGCTTAGGTTCGCATATCGCATAGCTTCCTGTAGGTTTTATTCAAGTCTGTGTACTAACAAATCACAAAAACTGTCTAGGAAATTGCTTCCTTGGGATGGCAGTATTAAAAAAAATCCTTTCTCATACAGGCTTTATTAATGATTTCATCTGGGGCCAGCAAAGAAGTGTTTGCAGTCATTTTAGTGAGTTCTTCACACATGCATTTTCTTCTTTCACAGAATGGATTCTTTATGTTGCTACTAGTCATGAAAAAGAAGCAAATGTTGGTGTAATCATCCTCATATTTTCTGTTTTCTCTCAGCCTCCTTTCTTAGCCACCATAAACCCTACTGTTCCTCTTTCTCTGGCAAAATATGATTAGTAACATAACAGAAATTTTTTCATAAGAAAAAACAGCAGCATATATCCATGATGATTTCAAAAAAGTGGGTAAATGTATCTATTTTAAGCAAGAGGGGAAGATAAAATGATGTAACACTATATTGATTAACGAAAGGAAATTTAATAGCATTTGTTTCTCTCTCTCTCTCTCTCTCTCTCTCTCTCACACACACACACATAAACACACACTACTTCACTGTTATGCCTTCTCACAAATAGCCAAGGATAATTTCTTTTTCCTAAGAAGAATGCTAATTGAGCTCAACAAATCTTGAAAAGTAATAAACTGAAGTCGTTATCTAGCAGTAACCACTGGATTCAGTGAACAAGACTGAATGACAACAAGAAACTTGCAAATTCCTTATGTTTCCTGCACCAAAGAAACATAACAGTCACCCGATAGTAGTTTTGGATGATGATGACCTTTAACTTGTCCATAAAATCAGAAACAGTCCCAGTTTCTTGTGTTGGAAATATGGTATTGCAGCAAACTTGGAGTATCTACTAGATCTCTGACAGTCAAAGTTAGTCTTTACCCTGGCAGCATTAAAATTACATGTTACTCACTAGAAATACAAAATCTCAGGCTCCACCCAGACCTGCTAAATCTGAGTTGGCAGTTTAACAAGATCACCAGGTTTTTTTTTTTTTTTTTTAATATTAAGTTTCAGAACACTGCTTTGAATGCCTCAGCCAACTAATACCCTCTAAAATATCACAAGATACAAAAACAAAAATAGTTACCAAAAGCATTCCAAGGTTCTCGGCAGGTACGAAATGGTTTATCATGGAAGTTATGTCTTCAAAAGGTTCCAGAGTCACTGAATTTTGATTCAGCTGAAGTAGTTTACTCAGTAAAGCCCAATTGAACAAACGGTAAAATAGTGTTAAATTAGTGAATTCTTTCTTTTAATCTCAAGATTCCACTTACGCACTCTTCATGGATAATTTTATTTACCATTAAGATAGAGTATCAATTTGTTTCATATTTTCTTGGATTACAGCAAGAAATAGCAAAAATTGAACAGGATGGTAAATTTGACTGTAGTCCAGAAAGGCTGGATTGTTATTTCCTGCAGAAATGATAAAGAATAGATGGGTAAGGAATTGCAGGGAAACGTCATAGTGGTGTGTGGCAACATCCCCAGATGATGAGAAATGGTCAAAAAGTTTTGGCATAGATGGTGGTGGGTATTGTGCTTGAATCTCTGTGACTGGGTGATTGATGACAGATTTTAGATATTAACAAAAGATCACTTACTAATTGCCACTCTTAGTTGATTTTAGAACATACTTGTTAAGTGCCCTAGTAATTAAAAGTCTACTACAATATATGTATTATAATCATTAACTGTTGATGTCTGTAAATGAATTGTTGATTGACACCAGTGTATACATTTGAAAGGTTTTGACCACAGTGAGTTTAGATTGTTAGCTTACGAAATTGAAGCTGTGTCTGAACCTTAACTTAGTCCTTGAAGTAAGATTTTGAGTGTCTGGGTTCTGCATCCTGGAAAGATATTTTTATAGCACAACAATAAAACCAGTGAACATTAGATATACAAAAGGATACCTCATAATAATTTCAGATTGGATTCACTAAATATAATTGTGTACTCTGATGATCAAAGACCTGACTTTTCTGTAGTTGACCATTCCCTGAATTAAAGTCCAGTTATTACTACTGATAGATAATAATGTGTGTGGACTTGTTACCTCAGTAGGGATAAACAAATTACTATTTAAAAGTAATTCTCATTTTATTCCAGAAAATATCCTTGCTGCTTTTTTTTTTTTTTTTCTTTTTATTTTTTTTTTTTTTTTTTTGTCTAATGTCAGGAGGACACAAGAAAAAAAAGCAGCAGATAAATGTCATCATCACCATATCACTGATGGTGCATTAGGATTCAGTTTATCACAAATGGTATCTTTCATTCTGGTCATTTATGTAAGTTGCCAAAAGAGCTAATGATACCATGTTTAATTGCCTGTGAAATAATAAAAATATCCTGTTATGAATACTATTTCAATTTTGGGCATCTGAGCATTTATACCTAGTTCTTCATATTATCCTTGTACCTGAAAATAAAATGAGTGTTTCAGGTTCGAATTCTTTCATAGAAAAATAAATATTGCACCATGAACCAAGGTGAAGATAACTTGAGTTGAGAATTTTGGTGGAATTATAAGGAAAGAAGAGCTTTGTTAATTCCAAAGGATATCTAGCCATTTAGATATTCTGAGGATCATCCAAGTCACACCATCTCTTTATAGTGACCTTTACCTTGGTCACAGTTGAAGCTTTACCTTTAAATAAACTATCTAAACCCAAGACATTTTGACATTTATTACTTCATGTAATCCCTTCGATGATCACCAAATAGGGACTCTAAAATATCTTTCAGAGGAAACTCTTTGGAGATTTGGATCCCGAAGTTGTCTGCTCTCAATCTTCACCGACAACTCATCTTCTCAAAATGATTCTCTTGAAGCTTAAATTCCAAGCTTTTGTTCCTAAGACCTGACCTTTAAAACCTTTTCATTTATCTGACCACTGAGACATCCACTGCCGTAGATCTTGACCTCATAATCCATTTTTAAGCTGGATTCAGGTCTCTTTGCCATAACCTGAACTTTGATATTCTGATAGGTTCAAAGCACAATTCCCTATCTCAACTCAGAATGTTCTCTGAAGGGTCAATAAATGATTTTTTTTTTGTGATTATCAGTTACCTTTTCAAACCTTTATGTGAGAAATTTTTATTCTATGATTCTTTATGGAAAAGCACATTAGAGTTGCTCTATCTTTAGTTAGAGGAGGCTTTTTGTTCTCCTAATTAGATTCCAATTTCTTCATATCAGTTCTTAAACTTCAATTTCTATCCATTGAAAGAAGAAAACTCCATTCCTCAAAGATCCTAAAATTTATATAGCTCCACTTTATTGTGACCTTATCTTCTAGCATGTATGACTTAAATCGCCAATAACATTCTATGACCTACGCACCTCAATTTTCATTCTTAGATTTTTCAGCCTGCCTATTCTGAAAAATTAACTTACTTTTAAGTGTTACAATGGGAAAGTAGAACTTTCATTGGGAAGAACACTGGCATAGGAAAAATCATACTTAATTTCTAGCTTAAATATCTGGACCTCATTTTTTTCTAATTAAATTTACTATGGGGCCAGGCACGGTGGCTCACACCTGTAATCCAGGCACTTTGGGAGGCTGGGTTGGGCAGATCACGAGGTCAGGAGATTGAGACCATCCTGGCTGGCAGGGTAAAACCCCATCTACAAGGTGAAGTTTGGCTGCGGACACACAGCCAAACAGAATCACCCTCAAAATGTATCTTCTCAGATAAACTATCAGATTATCAATGAGGAGAACCCTAACGGCAATTACTTGTCTCTAAGAAACACTTCCTATCAGTGGAATATACCTCCTCTTTGGAGGAAAATACCAAACATTCTCATTTACTGTATTTGATGTCAACCTACAATGATTGTTTTTGCAATAATTTATGACTGACGAATTCAAAATTAAAGGAACCACATTGTTTTATTTTAGTTTTCTAAAGAGCTTGGAAAAAGTGCACAAACATAAAAAAGTTCAGGAAATTTTTTGGCCTTTGTTCCTGGAACCAAATCCTTTGCTACCACTTATGCCAGAAATTTTAGGAATTGGCATGTGCTAAGAAATTAGAAGACCTCCTGAGGCATCTAGAAGATAATGCTTCGTTATTTAACACCATGTACACAGGGAAAAGACAGCCTAAGCCTAATTATTAGCCAGTGTTTTGCTCTGAAGGGTGGAGAGCGATGGCATGTCATCACGCTGTCTTTACTCCACAAATCTCCATTCCTCGACTTTAAGTCATATCTTGTTGCACCCTGCCCATGTGGCACATAAAGCTATCAGTACTTTCATGAAAACATTTTTGTGAAAGCCTGACTTATGGCAATGGATTATTTGTCCATGGACTTTCTCTATTATTTTCCCAGAAAGGAAGTTTTGTTTATTATGTTGAGTAATTTTCACAGACCACGGCCTTAAAAAACTGGATGAGAACATTATGAAGAAGCAATGTTTAAAACTCTGAGTGGGGCCTTCATTTGTTTCCCATCACAGCAGACTCCCAGTGCCAAAAGCACCAAAGTGGGCTGTACAAGTCTCTACAGGATTGCAAAGAAACTGAACAAAAAGAAAAGGAAAGGGAGGGACTTTCTCAGTTACATTATAATCATCATGACCTTCTTTATTATTGAGGAATTATCCTTCGTTGGTATGGGAAGAGAAATAGCAAGAAGCAAGTCGTGTGAATGAGAGATTTAATCGAAACTGATGTCATTAATTGGCTTTGTGAGAAACACATTTGTGTTTTTTTGCTTTTTTATCTCTCACAATAATATATTTTCTCTGGAAAAGCTTCAGGAAGTGGCAGTAGTTCACCAGAGTTTCCATCTTCACTCTGGGGGGGAAAAAAGTGTTATTGGAGTGGGCCAGCTCTGATAACAAGAGCCTGCATCTGGGCTCTTAGGAGGTCTAGAAATAGAAGGGGATAGACTACAGACAATGGCCTGCAGACTAGACTCATGCAAGTAGGCCATATTACGCAAAAGAAAAGGCAAAGGCGATAACTATGAAAGAGAATCTATATGTAATTTCATGAGAAATAATTATTCAGTGCATATTCAATTTTATGTACGCACTCCATTTGTTCTTTGACAATTCCATCAACATTGTATATTCTGAAAAGTACTTAATAGGAAGATGAGGTAAGAGCAGGGTGGTAGTACAAAAAGAGCTTTTACCTTCTATATTAATAAATACATGGGCTTCTTAGGCTAAAGAAGGAGTGATGTTGTACATTGCTCCCCAGGACCAGTAAAGGATTCAGGATAAAAACATCTAAACTCTTTAAATGAACTGTAGTAATGAGCTACTGCCTACATAGAACTGGAGATGAGCTGTATGCCCCAGAGGATACTGAGAGAAAATGTACAAGGGACATAGAAGGGTAGAGACAAGGGACATAAACTAGAGCCACATATACAGGAATGGGGTCTGAGGCTGAGATAATAGGAAGCCTGTTATCAACTGGCAAGACAAGTGAATAAAATCGTAACTGAATTCAAGATACAGGGACTGTTTGGACATTAGGTTGAATCATTCCTCCTTACCTTTGTGCACACACATCTTTGAGGCAAGTGGAGGGTCTTCTTCACAGAGATGCTTGATAAATTTGCAGCAAGACTCTGGTCCTTTTCCAATAACAAGGTCAATCAAGGCTCGAGCTTTATCCATGACAGTGTCATTTTCATCTCTCACTTTGTTCGTATCTTCCTGGCTAATAACTCTATCTTCTAATCGGCAACCAAGCAAGGCATTTATTGTGCCTGCACCCACTGAACGGATAAAAATTCTTCTCTTTTCATGCAAGAGTTGGTCTGTTGGAAGCACGAAGATTTCTCAAATAATGAACATGACACAATTTTCCTCTCAATTCACCAACAGGAAAACAGTTTAAAACACAGAGCTCCACAAGTACATTTATTACAAGGACAAGTACAGTAATCCCAAGGAACGATCTTACAACTTTGCATTTACTTCATGTACTTCCTTCTGATTCTAGCGTTACCCACATATGCTCACTGAGTAACCTGGGAGACCTAATTTCATGATTTTTCTGCTAATCTTCTAAAAATGAGAGGTTGTTCTGCTCTGACACATCCCAATTTCTTGAATTTTGAAGGGAAATGGCAGTTTCTTGAATTTTGAAAGGAATTGACTGTTTCCTTTGAGAACAACAGCTGCTGATACCCATCCTGTGCCAATTCTCATCCTTAACTACATAATCTTTCAAATGCTGACAACGCTATCAAAATTATAGCAGATACCAGAAGGAGCCCAGATTCTTCCTGGCCTTTATCTTTTCCTTCAAAAATGCTGTGAAAGTCGGGGCATCTTCCCACCTTCCCTCTCCTTTCTCCTTTCCCTGTGCACCTCAAAGCTACTCACAAAAACCTTCACCAAGCCTAATGAGAAAGACAGTCCCTTCCCAAATAAATTCCTCCCTTGGACCTATTTTCTTACTACGGAAGACTCACCAGCCACGGCTCCTCACGCTGGTGCTTGCAATGCGTGTTACAGTTGCAACAACAGGCACATTCCTTTAAGTAGGGTGTTACACAGATAAATGAAATAATTACACCTATGCATGTGCATTTTTAATTATTTCCAAAGAAGCTGTTAGTTATTGTCATTTCCCAAGATATTTTTAAGTAATTGAACCTCAGGTTGTAGTATGAACTGTGATCATGAGAAAATTACTTTACCTTTCCTTGAAAGGCGAGAAACAAGAATAAAAGGGAAATGAGAAGGCACATGCAGAGTTAAACATATGCAGTAAACAATCTTTAATTCACTGAGATTTAAATAGAAAGTAAAGACAGAGTGTAGAGTGGTTTTGCCACCTAAATCAAGTACTAAGCATTTCCTTTTTAAAATTGTGGTAAGATAGACATAATACAAAATTTACCATCTTAACGATTTTACAGTATCCAGTCCAGTGGCATTAAGAACATTCACATTGCTGTGGAGCCATCAACACCATCCAACTACAATTCTTTTCATTTTGGGAAACTGAAACTCTACACTCATTAAACAGTAACTATTCTTTCCTTCAATCAGCCCCTGGCAACTACTGTCTGTCTTTATGAATTTGACTTCTCTAAATTATTCAGTATTAATTTTTTGGTGCCTGACTTATTTCACTTAGCATAATTTCCTCACTGTCTATTCATGTTGGGCATGGGTCACAATTTTCTTTCTTTCTGAAGTTGAATAATACTCCATTCTATGTATGTACCACATTTTAGTTTACCCATTCTTCATTGGACACAGGTTTCTTCCCTCTTTTTGCTATTGTGAATAACATTGCTATGAACATAGTGTAGAAATATGATTTTGAGATTCTGCTTTCAATTATTTTGAATAAATGTCCAGAAGTGGAATTGATAAATCATAGAGTAGTTCTATTTATTTATTATTATTATTATTATTTTGTGTGTGGAACCAGTATGCTGTTTTCCATAGCAGTCGCACTATTTTACATTCCCACATACAAAGCACAAGTGTTCCAATTTGTCCATGTTGTTGCCAATACATATCATTTTTCTATTCTTTTGATAATAGCCATCCTAATGCGTGTGAGATGGACTTGGCTTCTTAACTTCCTTTCATGTTTTTCACCTAAGCTCTAGGGTGTCTCCAGACACAGAAGTGGTGTATGCTCCTATGAAGCAGTTTTGCTGTTTGGAATAAAAGTGCTTTGTTATCTAGGGCTCTTTATCTTCAGATGGCACCATTATAAGTAACACTTTATAACAAAGATTAATGGCACAGACTCCAAAGCCAGAATGGTTGCATCCACATTTTAACTGCTGATCTCAGGAAACAAAATTAACCAAACCTTAATCTCCCCTTCTGCCAAATAGGGTTGGTGATAATTTATCTTGCAGTGTTATTGTGAGGATTTAATGAGCAAATATAAGCCATTAAAATAGCCCCTGGCATAAAGGAAGCACCTCAATTATTATTATATGTGTCCATGTAAAATTTGCTGTTCATCTCATAAATTCATTCAACATAAATATTCAGCATAGTTATTTACTGAGACCCAAGTCTATGTGCTATACATTATTATAGATGCTGGGAATGTAGTAATGACCAGACAAAATTTTCTACCCTATTAGAAGTTGTATTATAGTAGGAGAGACAAATATTGTATAATTTTGTATACAAAAAAGGTATACAAAATATTTTCAGAGTTCTTTAACAATTGAAAGATAATTATTTTCAGAAGATTTGAGGAAGCATCTTCACTAAAATACTTGTATTAGCTTATATATATGACATAAATTGATAAATATTTAATATCTGGGCAAGGTGCTATAGTTTAGGTGCTCATGAGCCCAGGAATACACCAAATGAGACGAAGTGGAGAGGGGAGTCTGTGCCTACCTGGTAAGGGTAACCCTCTTTGAAGGGACAGAGCTTCTCAGACTCAACTAGTTTTGCCTATGAAAATAAAAATTCAGTTTACTCTTTCATTTTGAGGATACTATATCTCTAATTTTAAAAATTCTTTCAGTACGTTTGCTATTGCTTTAGAACACTGGGAAAATTAAATAAGGCTTGACTATGGTTCACATTTCACCTGTAGCCTACCAATTTACTTTGTGCTTTCTTGGCAGATAATGGCATTTATTTTCTTGGGAGTGGGAACTTTTATCTTGGTAGCACATAGTCGAACATTGTGGAGATTTGAATCTTTGACTTCTTTGACACTATTTTTTGTCCCTACTTCTCCAACCTAGCTTATAGCAGGCTCTGTGTCCTCTTGCTTTAGGGAATATTTATGGCAGGAAAGAAATTAGAGATGGTCCGAAAGACACTGGAACCTGAAACAAGAAGACAACGAATAAAAAGAATGGAACATCACTGTGGAAATCACAGAGAGAATAATATTATCCTCGTTCTCTACTAGCCAGAAAAGCACATTATTCTATGGAAGTATAGCAGATGGTGCCTGACAATTGCTGAGGGCCAGATGATACCTCTAGAAAGCAAAACTGTAAGCATGAGGATTCCCAAACTCAGCTATGCTTCCCAGATCTCTAGAAGCTAAGCAGAGAACTCTTAGATATGCCACTCTACTGCTGGCTTCAAAATGAAAGTCCCAGTGATTAGAAGTTTGAATGGAAAAGGCAGGATTTTTTTTTCCTGTTTTTCTGAACATCCAAGTATATGTAAGTCTGTTAAGACTACAAGAATAGAGACCTCATAACGACCAAAATTGGAATTATCTACTACCTTATTTGTATAGGCACTTGATTTCAGAATGTAATTTGAATTGAGATATGATTATCATAAAATAAATAAATCACATGCTAAACAATAGGCAGTGTTTTAAATGATGAATGATGAGTTGAAAATTTAGATCGATGCTCATTTCAGATTTCTGGATTTGTGTTTGCTGCTGACAGTTCAGATTTGTCATTATGATAAGAGTACTTACTGCTTTTGTGGGAGTAGGCAGGAGTTATGACATGAAAGCATAAGTTCTCTAGTTGCCACCTTTACTTGTGTCATTTATAACTCTTTGAAGATACTCAATTTTCTATCATTCCTCTGTCTGTTCTTGGGTATCAACATTCTGGAACATATCTAGTGAATATACATTAGTGGGATCACTAATCAAAGTTAAGATTTATTTATTTTTTTAGAAGCCCCCCCGTCTTCCCAGATTTGGAGTAAAATCACCCCTTCAAGTGTACTTTGTTAGTTGTATGAGATGATGAATGACTTGGTTAAACTATCTAAGCCTCCATTTTCCCATTCAAACACTTTCCTCATCTGTATCATTACTATTACTAGATTTGTTGTGACTATATAAGATAATGTATGTGAAATCATTGCCTGGCTATATCTGAAAGTGACTGCTACTACATTAGCAATAGTCTTGAAGGAAGAATGTATCCTGGTACCTTATATTTTTTTTATAAAATGCTTCCAAATTTATATGCCCATTTTACAAAAAATACTAATTACCAGTGGTTTAGAGATGTAACTGGCACAAGGAGTCTCTCACTCAATCCTAGGCCCTGTGTGATATGCTACTTCTTGCTCATCATAGCACTGTGGTTGAATCTATGAAGAAAATCAGCTGGTAAAATAGGACTCAGTGCCTGCCCTTGGGGAATTTAAAATAATTTGGCACTGATAAGGCATAAGCACCGGAAAATATTGTATGACAGCACAGGAGACAATGGACTAAGATGCTACGAGGTATCAATGATGGGAGGATTGAATATAATCTGAAGCAATCGGGAAGATTTCACACAGGTTACATAAAATGTTTCAGACTCTGTAGGATGAAGGCATTTAAGTAAGCACTGAAAGTGGTTGCTAATTTGCTTATAGCTTGCCCTGTTTTAGGTAATATATCAAATGTTTTCTTTCTTTCCTTTTTTTTTTTTTTTTTTACTGATTCTTGCTTTCTTGCAAGCCTGGAGTGCAGTGGCCCGATCTCGGCTCACTGCAACCTCCACCTCCTGGGTTCAAGCAATTTTCCTGTCTCAGCCTCCTAAATAGCTGGGACTACTGGCGTGCGACACCCAGCTAATTTTTGTATTTTTAGTAGAGACAGGATTTCACCATGTTGACCAGGCTGGCCTGGATCTCTCGACCTCATGATCCACCGGCTTTGGCCTCCAAAAGTGCTTGCTGGGATTACAGCCAGTGCCAAGGAGCCTGGCTTTTTTTTTTTTTTTTTTCATGAGACAGAGTCTTGCTCTGTCGCCAGGATAGAGTGCAATGATACGATCTTGGCTCACTGTAAACTCTGCCTCCCAGGTTCAAGCCATTCTCCTGCCTCAGCCTCCCAAGTGGCTGAGGCTAAAGATGCAGCCGCCACCACACCCAGCTAATTTTTCATATTTTGATTAGATATGGGATTTCACCATGTTAGCCAGGATGGTCTTGATCTCCTGACCTCGTGATCCACCCACCCTGGCCTCCCAAAGTGATGGGATTACAGGCAAGAGCCATTGCACCCAGCCTGTTTTTTTTTTTTTTTTTTTTAAGTTAAGTTCTGGGATACATGTGCAGAACGTGCAGGTTTGTTACATAGGTATACATGTGACGTGGTGGTTTGCTGCACCCATTAACCCATCATCTACATTAGTTATTTCTCCTAATGCCATCCCTTCCCTAACACCCAACCCCCAACAAGCCCTAGTGTGTGACGTTCCCTTCCCTGTGTCCATGTGTTCTCATTGTTCAGCTCCCACTTATGAGGGAGACCATGCAGTGTTTGGTTTTCTGTTCTTCTGTTAGTTTGCTGAGAATGATGGTTTCCAGCTTCATCCATGTCCCTGCAAAGGACATGAACTAATTCTTTTTATGGCTGCATAGTATTCCATGGTGAATATGTGCCACATTTTCTTTATCCAATCTATCATTAATAGGCATTTGGGTTGGTTCCAAGTCTTTGCTATTGTGAACAGTGCCACAATAAACATACATGTGCAGGTACATTTACAGCAAGATAATTTATAATCGTCTGGGTATATACCCAGTAATATGATTGCTGGATCAAATGATATTTCTATTTCTAGATCATTGAGAAATTGCCACACTATCTTTCACAACAGTTGAACTAATTTACACTCCTACCAACAGTGTAAAAGCATTCCTATTTCTCCACATTCAACATCTGTTGTTTCCTGATTTTTTAATGATCACCATTCTAACTGGTGTGAGATTGTATCTCACTGGGGTTTTGATTTGCGTTTTTCTAATGACCAGTGATTATGAGGTTTTTTTCATATGCTTGTTCGCTGCATAAATGTCTTCTTTTGAGATGTGTCTGTTCATATACTTCACTCACTTTTTGACGGGGTTGTTTGTTTTATTCTTGTAAACTTGTTCTTTTTAGATTCTGGATATTAGCCTGTGTCAGATGGATAGATGCAAAAATTTTCTCCATTCTGTAGGTTGCCTGTTCACTCTAAGGATGGTTTACTTTGCTGTGCAGAAGCTCTCTAGTTTAATTAGATCCCATTTGTCTGTTTTGGTTTTTGCTGACATTGCTTTTGGTGTTTTAGTTTTGAAGTCTTTGCCCATGTCTATGTCCTGAATGATATTACTTAGGTTGTCTTCTAGGGTTTTCATGGTTTTAGGTCTTATTTTTAAGTCTTTAATCCACCTTGATGATGTTGGGAAAACTGGGTAGCCATATGCAGAAGCTGTAACTGGATCCTTTCCTTGCACAATACAGCAGGTTGTTTGACCAGCCTGGCAACACTAAGAAACAGCATTTGCATCCTAGGTTTGCAGATGAGAAAACTGACACTTCCAGAAAATGAACCTCTTATGCAAGATAATAAAGTCAGGGGAAGTGACAGATGTGATTTGATAACTTAAGTTGAAAGACCATAACTCTGTATCTGTACAAAGCAGAGCTGAGAGACCAGGACAATTCAGACACTGAGAATCATAGGAAAAAAATCAAGAGGAGGGAATCATGATAATGAAAAAAAGGACATAAAGTCTATTTATTTACTTATTTTAGATTCGGGGGTACATGTGCTTATTGTTACATGAGTGTTACATGAGTATTACATGTGTAATGGTGGAGACTGAGCTTCTAATGTATCATTGGGATATTGAACATTGTACCTAATAGGTAATTTTTTAACCCTCCCACCCTTTGCCATTTTATAATCCCCAGAGTCTATTATCTTCATCTTTATGTTCATATGTCCCCATTGTTTAGCTCTCAACCTCTATAGAAAACTCAAATAACTCAAAATAGAACTCTATAGATATCACAAAGAACTAAAAATAAAACCACCATTCCACTCAACAATTCCACTTCCACCCAAAGGAAAAGAAATCATTATATTAAAAAGACAGTTGCCACATATGTTTGTCCCTGCACTGTTCACAGTAGCAAAGCCGTGGAATCAGCCTAAGTACCCACCAACAGTTGACTGCATAAAGAAAATGATGTGATAAGTATACGTGTATATATGTATTTATGTATACACACACACACACACATACACACACTCACACACACAGAACATGGAATACTAAATACTATATAACAATAAAAAAGAATAAAGTCCATTTTTTTGCAGTAACATCAATGGAACTGGAGGTCATTATATTCAGTGAAGTAACTCAGATATAGAAAGTTAAATACCATGTGTTCTCACTTATAAATGGGACTTAAACAATGGGTACTATGGACATACAGAGTGGAGTGATGAAAAGTAGAGACTCCAAAAGATAAGAGAATGGGTGGAGGATGAGGTTTGAAAAAATACTTATTGAGTACAATTTCACTATTTAGGTGCTGGGTGCACTAAAACCCCAACTTCACCATGTTGAAGTATATTCGTGTAAGAAATATACAGTTGTACCCCTAGTATATAAAAGTAAAAATTAAAAAATCAAAAATAAAAAACCTGTGTTTAGATGTCTGGTGTTGGAGATATGAGGGAAAATAATTTAGGTGGATGACTAATTAATGTAATAAAGTTTATTTTAGAATAAAATTTTGAAACATGTTGACATGTAAGCAAACTAAAATATATCTATTGCACAAGATAATAAGTACTACAGGTATTGATCGACTTAAAACGACCTATGCAACTTATGACCATTCGACTTTACGACCACAATCGCTAGCCACGACTGCTCCGCGTCTGGCAGAGCAAACGTTGCCCAGCTGGGCGTACGACAGTGCAGGACAATAAACATATATGCTATAGCATATCATTATTAGTCATTTTCTTGCCTTTCTTACTAAAATGTGAGTGGTTTATATCCCTATATCTTTAACAATATTAGAACATACTAAGTTTAAATTATATTTGAACAAGATATCCAGATGACATCTTTTATGATGAATGCTACATATTTGTATCCCATGGAAAGTCACATAAAATTGTGATGATTTACTTTTCTATTTACAATGATAATAAATAAATACCTGGCAACTAGTCCTTTTTAACCCTAAGACTTAACATAGTTCATACTCTTCTGCTTTTCAAAACTCATCATATGCCGTGGTTTTTTACTTCAAATAGTAGACCACCGTGGTTCAGTGATCTGTGAATATTCACAGTTTTACACAAGGCTGCGCCTTTACCACAAGTTAAGGTGGCTTTTTAAAAATGAGATTTGACAATAATGTTTTCATAATAAGCATTCAGGTCAACCTTTACTACTGGTAATGCAGTGTTTTACTTAAACCTGACAAATGTAAAAATAAGAAACAAAATGGTGTAGAGATGATACAAATGGCATAAAATGAACAAAGAAAATTATGATATATAACAATAATGAAAGAAAATTATAATAAAATATGACTTAAAGATTTTTATAACATCATTTCTCAGTATTGTACGTACAGCCTACTCAACTTACGACCAAATTGTGTTACTACCGGTCTGTCGGGACCAATCGTGGTCGTAAGTCGAGCACTAGCTGTACTGGTGTCAAGAAAGTGAACTTGTGACTCTAAACTTATTATACTTATTTGGAATGATTTCAAGAAGAGAAAATTTAATTTGTCAGCTTAAGTACTTGAAAGAGCGACTCATCTAAATTTCTATGCATGAAATTTAAATTGCCTATGAGTTGCATTGCTCAGTGTTTGAATGTGGTACAATGACAGTACTGTCAATTTAAATGTCGGCTAAACCTTAGTGTACCTCAGGCTAACAACAGATGGATCCAAGTTAAAGGTAGATGCAGATAAGTCACTCACATAACTGGTTTCACCATAGTTAATACTATTTTCTGAAAGAGAGTCATCTGTAATGATGAATAACCTGCTCACGTGCTTCCTTGGGTTAGTACATATAAATCAATACCTACTATTAATACCTACTTGAAACTTGCTATACCAACAGTATTTAAATCTTTATCTCTTGCATTATAGAAAATATACTTCAATCTTCTTACCTTTCTTCATCTCTAATTCACTTTCCTGTGATATATTTTACACACACTAATGTAAACCCATTTTAGGTGTGAAGTTCAAAGTGCTTTGCTAAACATGCACATTACCAAAGTCTACTTATACAATATTTATATTATCTTAATAAGGCCATTTGCATGGTCAGTTAGAAAAAAACCTAAGCACAAGAAAACCACTGATATGATTACTAACTATCACCAGGGATTAGCTTTGCTAGTTCTTTATTTTCATATAAATGGGATCATCCAGTATGTATTGTGGGTGTAAGTGTTATGCCTTTCTTCTGCCTCCCTGCGCTGTCCCCTGGAATCCCTCTCAAGATAATTACAGGGCTCACACATGTTTATTTTCCAGGAATCAGTATCCCTCATTGTTAAGCATCTTGGAAACTGCTGCTTCATACATTTGGTCTGCTTTTATTTGTTTTAGACAAGAGTGTAAACCTAATCTCTGTTAAGCCTTCT